TATATATATATATATATATATATATTGTCCATTTATAAGACGTTCTGACTGAATTTAATTACCAGTTTTTTTCGTTCATGTGTCGTGTCCCTTCGGAAAGTGACCAATCATGGCTCTTCATACAGCCTCTTCGTCAATGAAAGGCTTTCTGTTCTGACGTGTTCCAGTTTCTCATTGATAAGTTGCATTTTAATATGCCCCAAGCCCTCACAAAAAAGAAAAAAAAAACACATTAAATGGCGTTATCTCAGGGAACCTTACTGCACATATCAGTGGACTCGCTCTCTTTTCTTTTCTGTGTGGGAGAGTGGGTGAACATGTGCCTCCACAACTTCTTCTCTTTTGTAGTCCGAATATATCTTCCTTTACTTCCCCCACCCTAGGCCTCTGCTCTACCATCCATTCACCTCGGTGTTGCCAAGTATCGGTACCTCTCTATTTACACTTGCTTCACCTTCATGATTTTCTCATCCGAAGGTCCAGCCGTGTCTCAGGATCCTGTCTGCTTGAGATATCAGGACGATTGTTTACCAAGCGCTTGATAATGAAGGTGATCGTACCAAACATATATTTATTACTTAGCAGTATTAGTAATATTAATATTATCCTGATTGTGTATACTTGTTGACTTTTCACTCGTCACTTGCGTAACTAGTGCTTAATAGTCATTACCCTCGTCTTTGACTAACGAAACTTTTCATTCAACCTTTATGTCACCAGCCAGCCAGCCACGAAATAAGAATCTCTTCGATTCCTACTTTTACAATCATTACGCCGAGTAATCAGGTTTTCAAGAACGCAGAACGAAGCATCCATTTCGCTCTACTTTCGAAAGCGTCTCTCTTCCTCCGGACAAGTGATCTTACGTCCTGATTAAACATAAGCCTCATGCAGAGATTTCACTTCATTCTATTTGCTTCGACGTTACCAACGCTTATTCGATTTTACTATTGCTACTATCGTGTCTACTGTTCAAACTTGTAAGCGATCCGATGGAGAGACAGATTGTGTTACGCAGCAGCAGAAAGAGTGATTGCAATATTGAACAAGTAATTTGCTTTCATTATTATTATTATTATTATTATTATTATTAGCAGCAGCAGCTTTGGTAGTTGAAGGTACGGTTGAAATACTGGATAACACGACAATATACGATGACTATTTGTATTCACTAATGCCCAGAGTACAAAGACAATTTGTGTTCACTAATGCTGAACTGCTATGTAATATCTAATCTCGTATAATGGCAGTCAATGCTGGACAGTATCTTCAAGGATCAACAGGGTACTTAACGCGACAAAGATACGAATCTACTGACGAATGCTATGGGCAGAACAAGATAGGCTGTCACAAGGAAGCAACAGAAATGTGGTTCTACAGAAGGATGCTGTGGACATCATGGACCGAACATGCGAGCAACAACGAGGTTTTGGAAAAATAGAAGCAAAAAGGAAACTCAGATTAAATATCAGGAAGAGGCAGTTTAAATATCTGGGAAGTTTTCTAACAGAGAGTGTGACACTGAGATCCGAAGACGGAGTGCAATGGCCAAAGATGCATTCCAAAAGCTAAGCAGAGTATTAAGAGACAGAATAATTTCGTTAGAAACAAAGAAAAACGAGTATTGAACTGTTACGGGATATTTGTCCTCCTATATGGCAGCCAATGATGGACAATCTCCTCAAAAATGAAGAAACTTGAAGAAACAGAATTGTAGTTCTACAGAACGATGCTGAGGATACCATGAACAGAACATGTGAGCAACGATGGGGTTTTAAAGAAAATAGAAACAGAAAGGAAACTTATACTTAACATCAGGAAGTGTCAGTTGAAATTTCTGGGGCACGTAATGAGGAAGGAAGGCTTGGAAAACCTGATACTCACAGGATAGATTGATGGAAAGAGGGACAGAAAAAAAAGCAGCGTGTAACAAACTTGATGAGTTTGAGTAAATGTATGGTAGAAAACTGTATAGGAGAAATAACAAAAACACAAAACTTATTGAGAGCTACAAGGGACAAGAAGATGTGGTGGGCCATGATCACCTCCGTCCTGTAGGGACACAGCACATAAAATAAGAAGATATTGGCTGGTGCTGTTCAAACCCCACTTTCCACCTTTAAGAGATTTTCAAATCACTCTTGCAGTCTTGTCGGCGGTAACTTATTTTCACTATACAACCTCTTTCCCACAGAAGTAACATTGTAAGATTATCGCTATATCCATAGCAAATGTTTAGATTGGCCTCCACCTTTTAGATCCACCTCTATAATTCTTTATACCTACGACTCAGCATGCTAGTTCCAGGCAGTCGAATAACCCATATTTTCTTCATATTCCATTTGTAAGGAAGAAGTCCCAAGAAGTTTCTCGAGAATCGCCCATGTAGATCCCTGAAAACTACAATTTTAACCTCTTCAAATCATGGATCAATTATTATATATCCTACTTATCCTCAGTCTTCATTTTTTTTTCTACCACTTATATCACACGCCTTACTCAGTCAAGCATAGGCTCTCGAACCGTGTACTGAGTAAATGTTAATAAAAAATAGACATTCTGCATGAGGAATGGTCTTCAACCAGAAATCTTTTATTGGAAAGGCTAAAATCGAAATAGAATTAAATACAAAATATACTTGCATTATTCTACGATACCGATATCTTTTTTTTTTTTTTACGCGTTTCACCCCAGGCAAGGCGGGAAGCAACTAGGACGCAAGGGGTTACAGAAAATATGGAGCAAGATCAGATAGGAGTGATAGAAGAAAGGTTGAGGAGAAGGGTAATGGATAGATCAAGGCAACTGGAGATGTCGATTGACATTACATATGAATAGCTGGAGATTATAGCTCTCAGGGAAACTGGAATAAGGAAGGAAGTTCCACAGGCGAGAGGTGCGAGACATGAAGCTATTGAAGTAGAAGAGACAGCTACATTTAAGAGTTTCGACAGTGAAGGGGTGAGAGCGGAATGCCAGCCTCATCGGGCGCTTGAACTCATGAAGTCTGGGAACCAGCGAATGCAGCTCCTCGGAGCAATTGCCATGAAAGTATTTGTAAAAAAGACAGAGAGAGGCGACGGCGCGTCTGTGAGAGAGTGACTGTAGACGAGATGCCAGATCAGGGCCAATTATATTGCATATCCGCCTCTGGAGCCTATCAAGAACCCCGAGGCAAACAGAAGGGGCTTCAGACCATATATGGCAGCAATACTCCATGCAAGGGTGAATTGTTGATTTGTAGATCTGGAGGATCGATTCCGGGGAGAAAAATTTCCTGGCGCGGCACAGGGAGCCAACTTTCCTTGCGATGGACGAAGCAATTGACTCAATGTATTTGTTCCATCTCAGGTCAGCAGTCAACGTGAGACCGAGCAGCCGCAGAGAGGTGCTCTCGAGAAGTTGAGCGTCAGACATTCTAATGGAGGGCATGGAAGGATCTCTGTGGTGATTAATAGAGAGCAGTTTTGTTTTTGAAGCATTAAAGTTGACCAGCCAATACCTGTTCACAACCGGTTGGAGGTCCTTTTCGAGATGCACGGCCAGGTTATTTTTTGTCAGTGACACTAGATTTTTTTTGAGGCAGGAATAAATGGTGGTGTCACCAGCGTAGATGCCAATTTGGGAATTTATGGCGTCAGGAAGTTCATTTATGTAGATAAGGAATAGAGTGGGGCCTAGGATGGAGCCTTGGGGAACACCTGCGTTCCTGGGATAGGAAGTGGAGGAGAATCAGATTAACATAAGGATCGTAAAATTAAAAAAATAAAATCTAATTATCTCAAAGTCTTCCATGTTATCGCTTGAACTTATTTGTCTTCATGTTTGATGTACCAGGAACCAGCCAACCACGTCTATTTGACACAAATTGACTCCGGGAATTCCAGGGACATGCCTTTTGTAATGATATTTCCATAAAATGACATCAGAGGTTCAAACATCTTTTATTCGGCTGATGACATGTCTGTCTGATTCCTTTCCAAAGACAAAACAACACAGAGACCAAATTGCAGTTTTGTGACAATATATATATATATATATATATATATATATATATATATATATATATATATATATATATTGTGGGTTTTACTATTCTAAGCTAATGCATTGTCTCTTTAAATGTCCCCGTCTTTCACTTGCTCGTTTTCCATTAGTGATTTACTGAACGACTTGCCCCGCAGCATGTAACTGGCGTGGCAGAAACATTTATTGACATTAACGCTTGCATTATCCGATATTCTCAATCTCTTGTGGCCGGAGATGGCCAATGTGAGACCCCTTCGCCGGCATCAGTGTCATTTGAAGCGAGCAAAGGCAGCGAATCGAATAAGTAGTTTTTGCTTTACATTAAACGGATTACTGTTGCCTCTTTGGTTTCGTGATAGGAGAGGAAGATCATTAGAAAGAAACGCTGTAGTAGATAAAAGACTGAAAGAATGATATATATATATATATATATATATATATATATATATATATATATATATATATATGCTTGACAGAAAGATCATGCGAGGGAGTGAAGATAAAAACAAAAGAAGGGTTGTAAAAAAGAGTGGGAAAGAAAAATCTTATTTGAAGAAAGGTAAATTTGAGAAAAATACAAAAAAATGGCGGTATGTGTTTAGAAAGTAAGACTAAGAGGAAGAGAGAGAGAGAGAGGAGAGAAATAATTTGAAAAAAGGGAAAATGAAAACGGAAACTGGATGAGTCAAAAAAGTGAAAGGGAATAAAATGGTGGGGAGTTGATAAGGCGTGTAAAAGAGAAGATGAAAAAGTGACAAGCAGAAAGAAAGAAAGAAAGAAAGAAAGAAAGAAAGAAAGAAAGAAAGAAATTCAAAAAAGAAAGAATGATAGAAAAAGACAGAAACAAAGAGTAAAAATAAAAGGAAAGGCAAAAGACATGAAGGAAGAGGCGGACTATAGAGGCAGATATCTCATAGAAAGGGCTGAAAAAATTAGAAAGTCATGTACGGTTGTTGGAAATGATCGTAGAATTAAAATCTCGATTGAAAAAAGAAGAAGAAGAAGAAGAAGAAGAAGGAGGAGGAGGAGGAGGAGGAGGAGGAGAAGAAGAAGAAGAAGAAGGAGGAGGAGAAGATGAAGGAGAAGGATGAGGGGGAGGAGAAGAAGAAGAAGAGAGATAACAAAGTAAAAACGAAAGAAAGAAATGATAGAGAGTGAAAGGAATTGATATGGAATATCAGAAAAAAAAAACGATAATGAAAAGAAAGGAAATGGTGAGAGAAAAGAAATAAAAACTGAAGAATGCTTTCAGCCTATTCATTTCTATAACGTTTTTAATGTATCGCATGACTGTTTGTTGTCTGTATACACAATCTTTCAGTCTCCTTGTGTCAAGAGGGCTGACCTCCTATTGCTCTGTTACCTCGGCCGTTTATTCACATTCCGGAATAAGGATGAGTGAACTTGATTACAGAAAATCCTACCGAAGAAAACCGTTGTAGTTGACTGGTTTATCAAACATGGAATGTAATGGTAAGCTAAGTGTGGCGTCCTCTGTAGACTAGATATTGATTAAGTCAGGTAAGAGCACAGAAACACACATTCAAGTTCGACAGATTAAGTTTTAATTAGTGCCAAGCGAAATGGGAATTGTTCGGTGGTAACTATTAATTCACTTTTATATAGAGATTTCGTCAACGAATTTGGGAATCAAAGTAGTTGGTTTTAAGACCCAAGAGTCATTCAAGGTAGAGGTTTACAAACTGGGATTACGTTATTGAACGTAAGAGGAGGTTAGTAAGTTCAGATTATGTAGGGTAAATAACTGATAACTCCGGACATGCCGAAATTAGGTTTGTTGTGAACGCGGAAGCATTCCCACGGGAATCTGTTCCATAACATGGTCATGTAAAGGTGTTGTTGGAATGTAACATATTCCTTACCGATGGAATACAAAGGGAATAAGAATAATTTTCACCCCGGGTATATGACATATCGGGTATAATTGTGAGGGTCTTGTTTGTTTTGGTTTGGTTTACGGCATATCGAGTTCAATTGGTTATTTTATGCCGACAAGATTATTATTGCTGGCCATTTTTTTTTTCAAAAAATGTGTTGCTCGTTATATATTTTTTCTTCAAAAATGTATTGCTGGTAATAATTTTTCCTCAAAAAATTATTGCTGGTATTAAAACTTATCTTTTACACTTTCATGGTGTCTTGACCCCTGTTTAGGGGTTATCTATTTGCCGACAGCTGGGACCCTAACAAGTGCTAACACTCCGAGTCAGTGTGAACCTGGGAACACTGGCCAATATAGAAGTCGTTCCACGCTCCTCAAAACCTCCTGATCAGAGGCCTTGCTGTCAGACGTAGTTTATCGTCTTATTCTGGACACGGATGTAGTTTATCGTCATACCCAGGACGGTTGAGGGTCTGGACTGGTGGAACTAAGGAATGTAGCTCGTCTGAAATAAGCGATAGCGTAGAGAGAGGCCAACAACATTTCGTATGTGGGGGAAATGGTTGTAGGGTGGGGAATAATCTATAACCCTTAAGGACGCGTAAACGCTTTTGAACTCTGTCAAGGCTGAAAAGAGAGGATTGTGTAGCTTCATTTCACACATGGCCGCAATGCTTTTTTTTTTTTTTTTTGATCTGAGCTAGTTCTTGTAAAGATAAAACATGAAAGAAAGAGCCGGGTACTTTTCTGGAGCAACACAAGGTACCAACCATTTCCCCATCATCTTCATGTATGGATCGTATACACAAGTTGCACTTGAGGGTTTGGTTTGGTTTGGTTTATTTTGTTTTACTTTATATCAACCTCAATAGGTTATTTAATGCCAACAAGATTTTTATAATAGATTCGCATGAATAAAATATGTATTCTTTGTAAAAATTCAGTTTGAAGATCAGGTTTTATTGACGTATTTGGCTAGAGTCTGGTTTCATTGAAGTATTCTTTTCTGATACGAAGAGACTACGATAGATAGATAGATAGATAGATAGATAGATAGATAGATAGATAGATAGATAGATAGATAGATACGAACAGACTGCGATAGGTAGATAGATAGTATCACAATATGTTTCTGACTGACAGTGTGCTTGTAGAGAAATTGATTTTATTGGCATTCACATGTGGCATAGACTTCTTCCTTTGGTGTGTTTGATTTTGATTTACGGTATATCAACCTCAATAGGTTATTTAATGCCGACAAGATTTTTAGAATAGATTCTTCTGAATAAAATCTGTATTCTTTGTAGAAAATCAGTTTTACAGATCAGGTTTCATTGAAGTATTTTTGTAAAGACAGATTTTGTCGAGTGTCAAATGTACTGTTGGTATTTTTCTTTTTTTCCTTTTTTTTTTTTTTTTTTGGCGTAGTGTCTTGAGAGGCTGCTCTGATCAACAGTCGCATAATATCGGGAATGTGAAATGAAGGCCGTTTTAGACGGGCTCGCTCCAGATCCTTTCTCACGAACATTTGTGTCCCCCCAAGCTCTATTCTGGGTCCTATGCTACTTCTGATCTAACATCGATGTCCTCCTTGGTGTTATTAGTTTCCAACTAGGCATTTATGCAGATGAAAATACCATTTATTCCTGTCTCAATAGCAAATCCGGATGAATCTGACCAAGTAAACTTGGCAGCTGCTCTTTAAAAGCTTAGATAAGTTGTGGCAGAATGCAGCAAGTGCGGGGCACCCAGTGAGGATCTCACTTTCAATACACTCGTAATCGATCTAGCGATACAAGCATGCTAACAATTACATCACGTTCGAAATGCCCCTAATCTTAGTTCTTATAGCCACCATGTTTTTCAGTTGTCTTATTTTCCGGCTTTCTTTAAGTGTCTATTATTAACCGGTAACCATCTCGGTATTTTAAACTAAACACTTTATTTAATATACGGGGATAGATTATTCCTTTTTTTTTTCAGATTTCCTTACTGAGAAGATATATATCGTATCAATATTCTCAAACTAGTTTTACCTAGTGTGTCACTTTTCCGATTCTTTCACTGAACCAGAGAATTTTTGCATATATGGTGGTGAGTCAAGCATGTTGTTTCTTCTTCTTAGATTTATACCAAAGTGACGCTTCCCTAGGGGAACTAAAGAACCCTACCAAGACTTATAAGAGGGTGCAATCTTAATATGATATACGCAGATAACAAAGTGTTGACGGCTGGCTCGATATATATATATATATATATATATATATATATATATATATATATATATATATATATATATATATATATATGGGAGGTGAATATAATTAGACAAAGTGAAATAGGTCAAATGACTCGTTGCTTTCACGGGAGTTCTTGTAGAAATGCGTCATTTATAGCTTTCCTACTTTTCTCATTATCTTCATTGTTTTCGTATACTTTTATACAAACAACATGCATGCACGCACGCATGCACACACACACATACAAACACACACACTCTTATATATTATAATATCATATTTATTAATATATATACATAAACACACACACACACACACACACACACACACATATATATATATATATATATATATATATATATATATATATATATATATATATATATATATATATATATGTATGTATGTATGTATGTATGAATTCGCTTTAGTCATGAGAATGGCGATGAACCAAAGATATCATTCTTTTTACGAGTTTTTCAACAGACTTTAATAAATATGTTATCTCTTATAGATAGATAGATAGATAGATAGATAGATAGATAGATAGATAGATAGATAGATAGATAGATACAGAGACTGTGATATACACATATGAACAGACGGTGATATATATATATATATATATATATATATATATATATATATATATATATATATATATATATAATTTCGATATATAGATAGACAGATAGATAGAGATTACAATAGATAGATACGAAGAGACTACGATAGATAGATAGATAGATAGATAGATAGATAGATAGATAGATAGATAGATAGATAGATACGAACAGACTGCGATAGGTAGATAGATAGTATCACAATATGTTTCTGACTGACAGTGTGTTTTAAATTACAACTTTTTTTTTTCTCCGTGTCGTTTGTTTTGCTACTCGTTAGTCTGAAATCGAAATGTCATTTGGAAAAGTTTAAATTGAAAAATTCATTGAAAATTTATTTGTTTTCGAAACAAAAAAAAATATGGAAAAACGTGGCCAGAATACACGCTTAGGTTGGAAAGAATGAAAAATTTAAACTAAAGAGGAGAGACAAACTGTTGGTTAAAAAAAAAAAAAATCAAGATTTAAATAGTCGACCACGCCCGTCTCTACCTGACGTAAGAGTCATCAAGACAGACACGGAAATGTGTTTTTTTTTTGTTTTTTTTGCCGTCTTTTCATTCACTAAATCTTTTTTTTCTCACAGATAAATATGATATTTTTTATGGTTTATCACCCATTTCTTGGTTACTTAAAACCAGAATACAATTCAAATTGTAAGAATTCTTTTTTGCTGCAAGTAAATATTGCATCCAACAATTTTTCTTTACTTACAGATACAAGTCCTACTATTTAATCCATAGCTGATGGTGGAAGAGATGGATTCATCCCTTCCCCAAGGTCATTTGCACCTAAGTGAATGTAATGAACGTGATCGGAATTCGATCCCGACTCTTCCGTTTTAAATTCGCAGCCGCTATCCATAACGCCACCCGCACTTCCACAGATAGCTATGAATATGTAGGTATAGTCTGATATATAAATATATAAATACATAGTTATTCATACTTAATATTCAGATTTAACTTTTGCTTTTTGGGGTTGCGCATGCGTAGACATCCATACACCCGCACGCACGCACGCACGCACGCACGCACACATGCATGAATATGCAGTGAGTTTCTCTTAGGAACCTGTTACCATTTCTGGGCCTATTGATTCTGATGTGTCACTGGTTTTCTTTCCCTGTTCCGCGAGAAAGAACTATTTTTGGATGGTCCTTTTTCCCCATGCGACAATCAAGTCATGAAAGCCATCCGCATTGCAGCTAATGTAGCGGAAAGTTAGGGAAAGGTGATCGAAAGAAATAAAGACAGAATGAAAGGGGGTAGGGGACAAAAGAAGAAAGGGGAGACAGAATAAATTAGTTTTGGAATATTGGTGTAAAGGAATAAGTGAATGAGGTTGAACCGGCGGTTAGCTTAAAAATTCGTCAGGTTTATACTTGAGTCATTAAACAAAACATACATCAAATTTATACCTGAGACTATATGTGTAAATGAATAGTCAGTTAAGTAAAAAAAGAAAATTGCATGTTCAACTGAATGAGGTCGAACCGGCGGTTAGCTTAAAAATTCGTCAGGTTTATACTTGAGTCATTAAACAAAACATGCATCAAATTTATACCTGAGACTATATGTGTAAATGAATAGTCAGTTAAGTAAAAAAAGAAAATTGCATGTTCAATTGAATGAGGTCGAACCGGCAGTTAGCTTAAAAATTCGCCAGGTTTATACTTGAGTCATTTAGCAAAACATACATCAAATTTATATCTGAGACTATATATGTAAATGACTAGTCAGTTAAGTAAAAAAGAAAATTGCATGTTCAACTGGTTTATACATGAGTCTGTAAACAAAACATTCATCGAATTTATACCTTAGGCTATAGATGTAAAGGAATAAATAGGAAAGTGAAAAAGAAAATTGAATGTTCAAGGTCAAGGCTTAAACTGGGTTTAATTTTTCTAGCGAGAAAAAATTGCTAACCATTACACCGCCTAGAGGTGCTTTTGGTTTTCTAAGCGTAGCTCAGATGTGGCATAAGTCCGAAGGTATGTGACACCCAATGAGGATAGCACTCAGTACTCAGTCGTAATTGTTCTAGCAAGACAAGCTTGCTAACCATTACGCCACGCCGAAGTGTCCAAGGTCGACTCTATAGACATAAACCAGGCCTGTTTATACTTGAGTCTTCAGGTACTTATTAGGCTAGTTCATATTTGATTGTTTATATCATTATTCCTGCTTATATTTGAGACTATAGGTAACCGTTTCGTTTCCTTATGAGCAGACGATGTGATGTAAGGTTGGATGTGTGGGTGGTGTGATGGATAATGGCTCGGAACTGAATATCGGAAAGCGGAGTTCGAATTCTAGTCTGGTTCGTCATATTCACTTACGCGCAAATAACCCTGGTAAACTTATGAATCCCCCTCTTCTCCACCCCCATCTATGGGTTAATTAGTAGAACTTGAATTCTTAAATCACTGTTACCCCTCTCACCACCACCACCCCACCAAAAAAAATTAATTCCAAAAATATTTTCTGGATTTAAATAACCTAAAAAATAGGATTGATAAGCCTTTAAAAAAATCAATATCTCAATCTATCTTACGCGTAAATAACCTTGGAAAATGTATGGGTTTATCTACGCCCCTAGCGAAGCAACCCGCAACGGGTTCCGTAACTAGGGCAGGAGATGGACTCATAGTAGAATTTGTTACTGCAAAAATCATTGTTATGCTCATAAAATTGTTAATGCATTAATGTAAAAAAGAAATAGTTTGGCAACACACAAAATGTTTCGACTTGAAATAACTTACAAAGGGTTGATAAGCTGTAAAAAAAATCAATCAATCATATATGTAAACATTGGTAGTGTTTATAATTGTGTCTATAATTAAATATTTGACGTCTTTATAATTAAAGTATATAGGTAAGCATTAGTTGAATTTATACTGAAGCCTATAATAAAATAGCGGTGATGTTTATACTTATCTATAGGTAAACATTGGTCGGATTTATGCCTGAATCTATAATTCAATGGTCATTGCAGTCTTTATACATGAGTCATTGGACGAGTTTATACTGCAGTCTATAGTCAAACAGCGATCATGTTTATACTTGATTCTATAGGTAAATATTGTTCAGATTTATATTTGAGTTCGTAGTTCATTGGTCATCGCAGTATTTATACTTGAGTCATTGGACCAGTTTATACAGCAGTCTATAGTCAAACAGAGATCATGTTTATACTTGATTCTATGGGTAAATATTGTTCAGATTTATATTTGAGTTCGTAGTTCATTGGTCATCGGAGTATTTATACTTGAGTCATTGGACCGGTTTATACAGCAGTCTATAGTCAAACAGAGATCATGTTTATACTTGATTCTATGGGTAAATATTGTTCAGATTTATATTTGAGTTCGTAGTTCATTGGTCATCGCAGTATTTATACTTGAGTCATTGGACCAGTTTATACAGCAGTCTATAGTCAAACAGAGATCATGTTTATACTTGATTCTATGGGTAAATATTGTTCAGATTTATATTTGAGTTCGTAGTTCATTGGTCATCGCAGTATTTATACTTGAGTCATTGGACCAGTTTATACAGCAGTCTATAGTCAAACAGAGATCATGTTTATACTTGATTCTATGGGTAAATATTGTTCAGATTTATATTTGAGTTCGTAGTTCATTGGTCATCGCAGTATTTATACTTGAGTCATTGGACCAGTTTATACAGCAGTCTATAGTCAAACAGAGATCATGTTTATACTTGATTCTATGGGTAAATATTGTTCAGATTTATATTTGAGTTCGTAGTTCATTGGTCATCGCAGTATTTATACTTGAGTCATTGGACCAAGTTTATACAGCAGTCTATAGTCAAACAGAGATCATGTTTATACTTGATTCTATGGGTAAATATTGTTCAGATTTATATTTGAGTTCGTAGTTCATTGGTCATCGCAGTATTTATACTTGAGTCATTGGACCAGTTTATACAGCAGTCTATAGTCAAACAGAGATCATGTTTATACTTGATTCTATGGGTAAATATTGTTCAGATTTATATTTGAGTTCGTAGTTCATTGGTCATCGCAGTATTTATACTTGAGTCATTGGACCAGTTTATACAGCAGTCTATAATCAAACAGAGATCATGTTTATACTTGATTCTATGGGTAAATATTGTTCAGATTTATATTTGAGTTCGTAGTTCATTGGTCATCGCAGTATTTATACTTGAGTCATTGGACCAGTTTATACAGCAGTCTATAGTCAAACAGAGATCATGTTTATACTTGATTCTATGGGTAAATATTGTTCAGATTTATATTTGAGTTCGTAGTTCATTGGTCATCGCAGTATTTATACTTGAGTCATTGGACCAGTTTATACAGCAGTCTATAGTCAAACAGAGATCATGTTTATACTTGATTCTATGGGTAAATATTGTTCAGATTTATATTTGAGTTCGTAGTTCATTGGTCATCGCAGTATTTATACTTGAGTCACTGGACCAGTTTATACTGCAGTCTATAGTCAAACAGAGATCAAGTTTAGACTTGATTCTATAGGCAAGTATTGTTTCAGCTTCAAATGACCTATAAATGTTTGATATGCTAAAAATCAGCCATATAGGTAAATATTGGTAGTTTATATTTGATTTTATAATTCATTGGTCATTGCAGTCTTTATACTTGAGTTTATATATAGGTAAAAATTGGTGGAATTTATATTGAACTCCTTAGGCTAACGGCGGTTTTAAATGACCTACAAATGGTTGCTAAAATTTAAAAAACTCAATCAATCAGACAGGTAAATACAGGTAGTATTTATATTTGAGTGTATAGTTCCTTGATCATTGCAGTCTTATACTTGAGACTATAGGTAAACATTGGCGGAGTTTATACTGGAGGCTATATGCATACATCAGTTATTTTTATAATTGTGTCTATAGGTAAATATTAGTCGTTTTTATATTTGAGTGTATAGTTCAGTGGTCATTGCAGTCTTATACTTGAGTCTATAGGTAAACATTGGCGGAGTTTATACTGGAGGCTATATGCATACATCAGTTATTTTTATAATTGTGTCTATAGGTAAATATTAGTCGCTTTTATATTTGAGTGTATAGTTCAGTGGTCATTTCAGTCTTATACTTGAGTCTATAGGTAAACATTGGCGGAGTTTATATTGGAGGCTATATGCATACATCAGTTATTTTTTATAATTGTGTCTATAGGTAAATATTAGTCGTTTTTATATTTGAGTGTATAGTTTCTTCATCATTGCAGTCTTTACACTTGACTCTATAAGTAAATATTGGTCGTTTTTATATTTGAGTCTATAGTTCAGTTACCGTGTTTATTCTCGCATATATTGGTAAATAAAGCTCGTGTTTGTACTTGAGTCAATATGTGTATGTTAGTAATGTTTCAGTCTGTATGCTAACTTTGTTCATGCCTATATTCGTTTCTATAGTTTGGTTTAAAGAAATGCCTTCGACGTATTCTACACACTCGCCAACAGAGCGAGGATTTTACCTGATTTAACATTAATTTATAGTCCTTTATATAAAACTGTAAAGTGTGAATTTAAAATTTCGCATGAGTTGAGCTAATTTCCTTTATTCCCTTTGTTTGCCACTTCTCCACAATCAAGTGCATTTTATTTTCCTTATCCTGAATAAAGAACTGTCTAATGAGGCTTGCCAGCGAAAATTGTCAGTTCGGTTCATCAGCTAACGTTTTATCATCTACAACGTGAAGCAGGGTGAACGCAAATCGAATCAGTAAAAGTAACAGCTTCACTGAAATGTGTTTAAAAGTTTCAATTTGAATTAAATCGTTAAAAATGGCGGAAAAGATTTTAACGGTTCCCAAAACCCCAAAAAAGAAAAAAAAAATTAAATAAATAAAAATAAATAAATAGAAAATTAACGGAAATGCAAAAGAGTGAACGAAAAGTCGAAAAGTAATATGATAATCAGTTTTAAGAATAAAAAAAAAATAATTAAGACCCCTACATCCAAATTCTGACAGGTTCAATAATACACTTAAACCAAGAATTACGCCATCACATTATAGCATTTTTTTAATGCTAATATGGAGTCACACCTACACGAGAAAGCATCTTTGAGGCTGGAAAGCGACAGACACGTATCCTTTGTGTATAGATCGCTGGGGAATATAAGAAAAGCAGAAAGATTCCAGGGGTGAGTGAAGGTTATATCTCATGTATAAAACGCACATTGTTTTAGAGCAATGAAAATGACCAAACTTGTGAAAAAGGAGTGAAGAAAATGGAAGAAAATTGTTTACTTTTGTGATTCGTAATCATTATGGAAGCGAGATAATGACTGTCTACAAAAATTGCTAAGGGTGTTTATTGTAAAATATACATTAATTGTTTTTTCATAAAAAATAATTTTTGGGGTGATTTTATCTTGAAATTATGCATTATTTTGGTTTTATTTTATTTTAAATTAAATAATATCTTTACCTCAGAATGATTTCCAAATGCTCGTATGTTTCTAGACATAACGAAACCGCAATAAAGTATAGAGCTGTAAGTGACTGAAAGATTTATTTCCTTTTTCGCAATAGGCTATATATATATATATATATATATATATATATATATATATATATATATATATATATATTTATTTTATATATATATATATATATATATATATATATATATATTTTTCCTCTCATTTCATTGTTGGAAGTGTTACCTGATGATCCAAAATCGTTTAAAAAGGATTTTGGTGAAATAAATTATTGTAATGGTACCTTAAAGTGTCTGTTGTTCATTAAATATTAGCTCTGTTCGTCACATTGAACTCTCAGGATTTCATCCTCCTTGGATTTACCAATTCGGTTTACCAAATTCTTCATAACTCATATATATATATATATATATATATATATATATATATATATATATATATATATATATTATCTCTGGTAAACAAATAGATCCAATTTGAGCTGATTTTGTCCGTTTTGAGTTCTGAATAAATGGCATTGAGTTTTTAACTAAAGTATAAGATGTAGCAGACTTACGTCTTATACACAAACGATTACGGTATATACATACGAAAAAGAATTTTGCTACATTGGCATTTAGGTCCCAAACTTTTGCCGTTGAAATAGCTAAAGAACAACCGCTACTCCTACTTCAACAGTTTCTTTTTTTGCACTTCCCACCTGTGGGACTCCCTTCCGTTTACTTGCTTCCCTGATAACTAGAATCTTAAAAAAATTAAATGCAACGTCAATCGCCATCTTCAGTCCCGTTCATCTTTAATCATTTCCTCAATCCTCGCTATACTCAGTCTTCTTTCTCACCTTGACTTCCTGTAGTCTCCTGCGTATTATCAGCATTTACGGCTTGTTAGTAGATAAGCCACACTGTGGTAATAGAAATCCTGACAGAACGTCTATTATTACAGTGTTGGGTCTCTAGTAACAAAATGGCGGAAAGAAAAAGAAAATAATGTAAATGCCTAGATAAAATAAAAATTAATTTAAAAATTCCCAGCATTCTTCAAACATAACAACATAACAAATTTAATCCGATGAAATCTTAACGGACGAAACGCGTCACAAGTAAACTTGTAGAGGGGAGGTGTGAATATATATAATATATATATATATATATATATATATATATATATATATATATATATATATTAAAATAATAAGAAAAGAACAGTAAGATTTACAAGCCGGTTTTCTTAGTAATTATTTTATAATTACTAAGAATAATAATTTATAATTATAAAGATTTTTATTTTGAAAACCAGTGCTGGATACAAAACAGTAGAACATAATATTATAATTATTATCTATTTTAAAATATCGTTCCATCGCTACACAGGAATTACCATGTTTCAAAACAATAACTGAAATTTTAAATTTAATTTTAAAATTAAAATAATAATTTCTGCTTTGAAACATGGTAATTCCTGTGTAGCGATGGAACCATATTTTTAAAGTAGAAAATAATTTTAATATATATATATATATATATATATGTGTGTGTGTGTGTGTGTGTGTGTGTGTGTGTGTGTGTGTGTGATTTCCCTACATATATATATAATTCCACCAATAAAAACATTTAGACTGATGAAGTATATTTAAATGTCGAACCGCGTTACATTTTTTGTTTTGCATTTTTCATTCTATTATATATATATATATATATATATATATATATATATATATATATATATATATATATATATAGACATTTATATATCATATTAATCTATATTAATTCTGCTTTGTTCTGCATAAAATGTGATTTAACGACACAGGCACGCGAATCAGTTTAGATCACTTTATAATTAAAATTTGGTTCTCATTGTGAACAGTCATTGCTTTTCATGAAAGATAGCTATGAACTGCATCTACAACATCCTTCTCTGACGAGAAATATAAAAAGTACTCAAAGAAAGAAAATTTCGCAAATTCAATAACATTATCTTCACTACTCGGAAATGGACTTTAGGTTGAAAAATAGAACATAAATGAGAAAAATGCAGAAAATATACGGACGACATTAAAACTTAAAATCTAACATTTTGATACGCCGTCTGTTAAACTCGTTGATGCCTAGAAGAAAATACCATCTGATCAAACGGAAGATCGTGTAAACAAGAATTACTGATTTACAAAGCGCCTACTGTTTGTAAAAGTAAAATAAAAATTCGATTTTAATCAATTAGATGGTAGTGTCCGTTTATGCCGTTTCATGACATATCGATTGACCTATTTTCTGGTTCTAGTCAGGTGACACAGCGTGGGTGTCTACATCGGATCTCACGAAACGCTGCAGGAAGAATTGAAATTTGAAAGCCGAAGTGCTCCCCAGGCTCATCATGGCTTCTCACTATTCGGAGCGTCAATCGAAACAGACAGATCGAAATGAAAAGAAATAAAAAAAGCATAAAAAGTCTACGGCTTATATATAAAGGACCGGAGTTAAAGCCAATAAAAAAAAAAAAAACAACTTTTATTCACTATCGTAATTCAGTATTAAAAGCCTGGCCTTCAGCAATGACAGAAATATCGAATGCTGAATTTAATCTGCGACCAATATACTACCAAGTCACGGCCAATATCTTTCCGATGGAAGCTTCTTATCTCTTCAGGACATAGACTATCATTGTATAACTTCTGTATCCCTCCAGGACGTAGATGATCATTACTCTCCACAAACATATATTGTATCATTTGCTATATCTACTGCTAGGAAAGTTAGTTCAACGTGTCAAGCGAGAATATTTTTCTCTTCAGAATTCATCTTTCACATTTACATATCTTTAAGTCGTCCTTGCATTGATCAATTAGTCCGTAGATGACCATTACTCTTTAATTCGTTCGTAGATGATCATTACTCTCCAGAAACATATATCGTATCATTTGCTATATCTACTGCTAGGAAAGTTAGTTCAACGTGTCAAGCCAGAATTTTTTTTCTCTTCAGAATTCATCTTTCACATTTACGAATCGTCCGTGCATTGAATATTGCTGTCATATCTGGTCTGGTGTTCCTGCTGTATATCCCAAAATTCTTGACAAAATACAAAGAAGGGTTTGTCATGTAATCGTCCCTGACCAGACATCTCGTCATTTAGTCATTTTTCTCACCGACTGTCCTTTTTCCACTGTCCTTTCTATAAATACTTTCAAAGCAAGTGCTCTGACGAGCTCCCCGCTCCCTCTGGCACTCCGACTACATGAATTTAAGCGTGTTACGAGATTGGCATCTTGGTTTCACGGTTTTACAGCTGATCTAACCAAATGCAACCTCCACTTCTACCCTAGCAGTTTCTTTTCTCGCACTTCTCACTCGTGGAACTCCCTTTCAGATTCCTTGCTTACCTACAACCTTAAAAAAATAAATGCAACATCAATCGCCATCTTCTTGAAACCTGTTCTTTTTTTTTTTTTTCACCTTTCCTCAATCCTCCACATTGTCTGTCTTCTCCTCTCTTTCATTTTCGCTCTCTGTACTCCCACCCCACTCCAGAGTACTAGTGACATTGTCGGATTGCTTGGGATGAAACGCTTAACCCCCCCCCCAAAAAAAAACATTTTTTCATTTGTACGGAGGGTTTAACCTAAAATAACTTACATATTGTTATCTATATTATTAAATCACTGGTACAAAATAAATATTTTTTTATTATTTAAAAACTTATCTGATCACATCATCATTCAATAGTTTCAAACTTCGATGAAGCCGGGGAAAACTATCAACTCATGTTCAGTACATGTTCGCCATTCGAGAATAATGACCTTATTTCTAGACGCGTCAACTTTATAAGAGATCTCGCCCACTTCAACTACTAAGCCGTGGATTTAATCCTCACAAGGTGCCTCATATATTTGGTCTCAAACTGAACTAAGTTGATATTTTTGAAAAACCAGGTGTGTGGTAAATGAGCTAGTATGTTTAAACATTATTAATGTGTTTCATCTTCACTAGGTATCACATACTGATTAATTCGTTTTTACGGCTTAGCAACCCTCTGCTAGAAAATAGTTTTATATTGTAAGATATTTTTAGATGATAATGGTGTAGTGTTAATATTTACTAATTAACCCATAGCTGGAGAATGAAAAGACGGGTTCATACTTTTTTTCCCATGGGTATTTGCGCATAGCTGAATAGAACGAATCCAACGTTAAATTGGAACTCGGCTCTCTGATTAACAATTCCGGGCCATTATCCATTACACCAACCGCACATCCAAGCTTACAGCACCTGCTATGCCCTATCGGTCACCCATCGAGGTACTGACCAGGCTTGACATTCGGTGATCGTACTGAAAGTGGTGTTTCAACATAATGTGGCCGTAAGGGTAGGTATTCTTTAGTGTGGCCTTATGCCAAACTAAGTTTAATAGATAATTTTGTCGTCCCAGGGACGTGGCAATAGTTAACGAGGAAGTCTGGTTCCACATAATCCTTGAATAGAGATTTAGACCCTCGCTAGAGACCGCAAACATTTGGCCTCCTGCTAAACTGATCTCGGTTTAAACTTTGTGGAATTGGTTAACGAGCTGTTCTGATTTAACATTAATACTGAGTTGTCAGTTCGATCCTCACTAATTAACCCATAGCTGGAGGAAGAAGTGACGTATTCATACCTTTCCCAATGGTATTTTCGCGTAAGAACGAATCCAACGGGAATTGGAACTCAGTTCTTTGATTAACAAATCCGTGTCATTAGC